CGGTGTCGTCGGTGTCGTCGGTGTCGTCGGTGTCGTCGGTGTCGCTGTTGTCGTCGGTGTCGTCGGTGTCGTCGGTGTCGCCGGTGCCGCCAGTGCCGCCGGTGCCGCCGGTGCCGCCGGTGCCGCCGGTGCCGCCGGTGCCGCCGGTGCCGCCGGTGCCGCCGGTGCCTCCGGTGCCGCCGGTGCCGCTGGTGCCGCCGGTGCCGTCGGTGCCGCCGGTGCCGCCGGTGCGCCGGTGCCGCCGGTGCCGCTGGTGCCGCCGGTGCCGCCGTTGCCGCCGGTGCCGCTGGTGCCGCCGGTGCCGCCGGTGCCGCCGGTGCCGCCGGTGCCGCCGGTGCCGCCGGTGCCGCCGGTGCCGCCGGTGCCGGTGCGGCCGGTGCCGCCGGTGCCGCCTGTGGTGCCTGCCGCCTGTGGTGCCTGTGGTGCCTGTGGTGCCTGTGGTGCCTGTGGTGCCTGTGGTGCCTGTGGTGCCTGTGGTGCCTGTGGTGCCTGTGCCTGTGCTTGGAACTCCGTATGAAACCACGAAACGTGTGAAGGGTGTGCCACAAATTAGGTTTCCGTACGCACGCGGACGGTCCCACTGGGGGCTTCAGTGGAGCTCCCTATGGGGCCACCAAACGCTATACTGGGTGGGTTGGGGAGGGGGAGGAGGGAAGCGGAAGCGAGGGAGGAACGCGGGGACCGTCTCTTCAAAACGAGGACCCAACACCACCAGATGGGTGGGAAATACAATCGAAACATGGCATTAAGGGCGGATGGTGACGCCAGACCCTTGGAGGCCGAAAATGGGATTTGTTGGGCGGTGTGCGACGAATGAAAAGGGCAAAGGACGGGCCGCAGAGGCAAGGACGCAAGGGCACCCTAGATGAAGGCGGGCGTCCTTGCTTGGCGCGTTGACTGTACAACGTGCGGCTGCAGTCTGTCCCCTTCCAACTCCGACGAACGGTCCGGTACCGCAAATGTTTGGGCACTGAAATTACTCCACCGTCGGCCCAGGACACGCTCATTCTCCGAATGACGGATGTCCCGTATAGCTGATCGAACATGGAAATGCTCGAATGGCGCCCACGGTGGCGAAGGAGGGCGGCCATAGTGACTATGGGGTAGAAAACAGAAGGGAAGCGTGTAAGGAGGAAGCGGGGGAGGAGGAATGATGGCCGACGACGGGAAAAGTCAGGAAGGCGGATGGAGGAGTGAGGAAGGTGGAGCGAGGGGGGGCGGAGATGGCTAGGATGCGCACACACGTGCGCGCCGCGGGAGCCAGCGCTGGACCTGACCAGCGCTGATCCCCGGCCGTGACGTGGACCACGGAGACGCAGAAACGCAGGAGCAACGCAACCCTGAGGAGAAGCGTCACCTGCGGCCGAAGAGCTCGTCCATGAGCACAGGGGGGGGAGGGGCGCAGCCATCGCGCTCGACCTTCTCCAGCAGCTCCCTCAAGCGACCCTTCTGCTTCTTCGGCGCCGCAGCCGCATGAACTCTGCCAGCCGCCGCCCTGCACTGCTGCCGTTCGCCCTCGTGGGGCCGGCCCATCCTTCATGATGACATCGCCGACGGGCTCTTGCAAGTCCCGATCGCACGCGGGGCATTCCATCGCCCGCCTCGGCACGAAAGCTGGAGCACCAGCGCGGAGCACGTGTCCAGCACGAACATCAGCAACTACAACAACCTCCGAGAAGTCGTCGTCCATGCCCTCTTCATAGCCGCCACTTCTAACACACGAATCCTCCGTCGACTCAACTGCTGCCCCAAAAGGCCGCGCAACGTCGCTGAACATCAGCGGAATGCAGCATGGCCCTGCACGTGCAGAGCACAGAGAAGCACGCCGCGGCAGCATCCGACGAGCAGGACACACCCTCCACCGAATCGAAGGTCAGGTTCGCAACCTCGCCAGCAACGTCCAACACGTCGGCACAGGCGCCCCCTGCGACGACGACGTCCTCCAGCACCCTGGCGTTGAAGACGGTTGAGCTCGGGCAGGCTCGCAGAAGCAGTCTGCGAAGCTGGCACGACGAACTCGTGGGCCGCGAGGTTGCGGCGCGCCACGACAGCGGGCGGCACGTCAGCGTCTGCGACTCCAGCAGCAAGAACCGGAGCGATGAGGCGAACACGTCCCTCCACTTCGTCGCAGCCGCTAGGTACCGCCCGCAGCGCGCCCAGCTCAGCCCGCAGCGCATCGGCCTCGGCAAGGGCCTGCGCCAACTGCCGCTGCAGCCGCCGAATGGCCCCATCCGCAGCGAGCGCCGCCGCAGCCCTCGCCGTGCGCCGTGCCACAGCTGAGCGTCTCACAAGGCCCCCTCCAGGGGCCTCATCCCGTACAGCCATCTCGCCCCAGCCCTCCTTAGCCCAACAACCACCTGGCCGCTAATCAGCAGCACGCCACCAGCCATGGGCGAATGGAGCGACACGGGGAAGGAGGAGAGAGAATGGGAAGGAGGTCGGGGAGGGAGAGGCCGAGGAAGGACGATGGAGAACGCGGGAGAAGGGAGGGGGAGAGAGAGGAGGGAGAGGGGGAGAGGGGCGCATGCCGGCGGGAGGAAGACGGGCGGGAGGGCGGGCGGGCGGGCCCGAGGGAGGAGAGGCCTTCCTTCGACGGCGGCCCCCTGCGCAAGAGCAGACGGGACGCCCCCGGCCAACCGCAGGAAAGACTGTAGGCGGCGGCGGCCCCGGGAGAAAGTGAGAAGGAGAAGGCCCTCTCTTCGGTTGACCCAAAGGGGGTCAAGGCTGCAAGGGGATGGTGCAATAGATTTGGGGCAATTGTATTGCAAGTGTATTGCGCTACGGAATTGTATCTCGAGGGCCAGAGGGGCTCCCGAGAAGCCCCGCCGCCTTCTGAGAGGGCCTCCTCCTTCTCACTTCCCCTCCTGGCTCGCCGCCGACCTTTGCTCTCGGACTGGCGACCCCTGGCGCGCGATGGGACAGTGGCGGCCTGCGCGCTTGGCTTTGGCCCCCCGCGCCCCCCGAAGGCCCCACACCACAGGCCACTCCGGCGAAGGGCCACTTTTGCGTGAGGCCGACGCCCGCGGTCCTTGATGTCGACTGGGCTCACGGTCTGCAGCGAGCCCAAGCAGGACTTCTTCGACGAGGGCGTGCAGGTGCCCGCCTCAGAAGCACTCCCCTCGCCGACCCGCCAACGCCCTTCCTTCCCCCCCGGTCCGCCTCTCGCCCGCCCCGCTCTTTTTGCCCTCCGCTCCCCACACACACCCCGACTCCCCCAGTCGCCAATCGCCTCGCCCTTGCCCTCCTCAGCCTTCGCCCTGCTGCTGCCGTTGCCTCCCCTTCTCCTCCAAGATCAGCATCACCATCACCATCACTATCACCATCACCATCGCCATCACCACTCACCATCATGACCATCACCATCATCATCATCATCATCATCATCATCATCATCATCATCATCATCATCATCATCATCATCATCATCATCATCATCATCATCATCATCATCATGATTATCACCATCATCATCATCATCATCAGCAGCAGCAGCATCATCAGCATCATCAGCAACAGCAACAGCATCAGCATCAGCATCAGCATCATCATCATCACCAGCAGCAGCAGCTGCAGCAGCAGCTGCAGCATCAAGGAACTAATACTACTAAACATCATCAGCAACCTCATCATCACGTCCGTACCATCACCATCACCATCACCATCACCATCGTGATGACCATCATCATCGTCACCATCATCATCATCATCAGCATCATCATCCTCACCATCATCATCATCATTAGCATCAGCATCGTCACCATCATCATCATCATCATCATCATCATCATCATCCTCATCATCATCAGCAGCAGCATCAGCATCAGCATCATCAGCAGCAGCATCATAGTCTTCGTCATCATCATCCTCATAGGTATCATCGTCATCATCATAAGCATCATCAGCACCAGCGTCGCAATCGTCAGCATCATCATCATCATCATCATCATCAGCAGCAGCAGCAGCATCACCACCACCATCAGCAGAACAATACGCAGCATAATCCTCATCATCACCACCATAAGCATCAGCCGCAGCAGCATCCTCATCACCGTTGCTGTAATCAGCATCATCATCACCATCATCAGCACCATCACCATCATCAGAATCATCAGAATCATCAGAATCATCATGCACAGCACCATCAGCATCAGCACCATCAGCATCATCAGCATCATCGTCGACGCCATCGTCAGCATCATCGTCATCATCATCCACAACATCATCATCATCATCATCATCATCATCATCATCAGCATCATCATCATCATCATCATCATCATCATCATCATCATCATCATCATCGTCATCGTCATCATCCTCATCAGTATCATCGTCATCATTATAAGCATCATCAGCATCAGCGTCGCCATCGTCATCATCATCATCATCATCATCGTCATCATCATCGTCGTCGTCGGATTATGGCCCAAGGCGGCGCGAGCTGAACAACGGCATGGGCAGGAAAACGAGTTCTGAAGCTCAGAAACGATGGTGAAGGCTGGGGCGTTTTGCGCTCTGGGATACCTCCAACCTCCAAGTTGCTCTCTGGCAAGCTACCCCGCGCGACATCTGCCCCCCCCCTTGCTGGGCGATTGCTTTGCATGGCGGTAACGATGAGAATGTGGAGGTTGAGGAGGAAGCAGCGGACATGTAGGAAAAGTTGGGGCGCACCTTTCGGCAAGCATGCTTGCCTAATGACCGTGCTATCTCGCTGATTGTCCCGTCGATAGTTTTGTATCCCCTCCTTCTCCCCTTCCTCGTTCTCCCACTCCTCCTAGCTTGTCCTTTGTATCTTCTCTCTCACCTCCCCTTCCCTTCTTCCCTTCCCTCCCTCGCCTCACATCCCTCCCACCCTCAAGAGGTGCACAATAATGGAGACTTAAACCGGTTAACGAAACAAATTGACATGTGGGATGCTCCTGATCCTGATCTTGATCCAATCAGCCCAGCCCAGCCCCCAACTGGGCTGCTCCCCACCGATGGAGTATCCGAGCGACCGTTTCGATCCCTGTCGATCGACGGATCGGCCAGATCAGTGGCCTGATCGACGCGAAAAGAAGTCCTCTGAGTTCCCCGCCCTGACGCTGTCGTGGCAACGCCTGAGGCCATTGGCACCGCAGTCAGCCTCGGTCTCCTCGCAAGAATACTGGGCGTACCCGAGGTTATCAGATGGCGTTTGGCACATGACTGGCAAATTGGGCGGGCAGAACGCCAGATTGCCATGGGCCTCGCAGTCGTCCGAGCCCGAAACCATGGTGCCGTCGGCGCACCTGTACTGATTGTCGACACTGCCAGCAGCACCGAAAAGCCACAGGCAGGCATCTTCCGGTTCGAATTCGATCTGTGGGATACAATTGACTGCAACTCCCGAACCTGCCGCATTCCACAGAATCTCTGGCAGAGATCCTGCGGACACGGCCTCTGCATAGATGTCGTCCGAAGCGGACTCTCGGAAGACCCACCTCTGATGTGTCTCAAAAAACTGCAGCAATCCTTTTCCGGTGCCACCTTTGTACTCAGGAAGGCCGTCGTGAGTACCCGAGATGTTCGGGAGCGGCAAAGAGGGGGGTGTCCAAGAGGGGGGGGCAAATCATGACGGGCGGCATGTGCGCGGCCCAGCGGGGGGGCCTGGGACGTAATAAAACAAGAAGAGGCGCCATGAGATCTGAGGAAAAATCATGGCCCGCGCCATGATATCCACCCCCCCCTAGTCATCACCCCCCTCTTTTCCGCTCCCGAGATGTTGTACGAACCCTCCAGAGTCGGGCAGCCTCCCGAGACGTTGAACCACTGGGGCGCCGGAGGGCCCGACGTGCCAAACACCCGGAGCTCGCAGATGGGGAAGTTGACGGCTGGAGAGAGGTACAGGCCCACGGCGCTTCCCACCAGCTTCGGCTCGCAGGCAATGGTGTTCCAGCCCTGGCTCAAGGTCTGGCTCCCCGCGCACTTATGATTCCAGTCGTCCGCTGTGGGGTCGAAAAACTTATGCGGGAGCACCCGGATAGAGTCGAGCGTATTCGTCGCGCCACCGCCTGGATGGTAGATGCGGACCTCATGGATCGTGCGCGTACTGCCAAGGTCGAAGACGATCTGATCCTGGAAAGTGAAGCAAGCCGATGCACAAACGGACACGCTCTCCTGACCATCGATGGCGTCGTTGCTGTCTCCGACGGCCCCAGGAAAAACCTCGATACTAAGGATGGGGATCTGCTCGTCGACAACATCGCCTCCTATCTGAACGATCAGACCGTCTTCCCGGTCGGTGCACACCACGCCAGCGTCAACGTAATTAACGCCCCTGGTCGTTTTTGTTACGGAGGTACCAAACCTGATCATGGATGGCGGAGAATCCACGATGACGTTCCGCTGCGCGGTTGTGTACCTCTGAGTATACGTGTCGGTGCAAAACCACACCAGAGGATATTGCCCCGCAACATTCACGTTGACTGATGACGCTGGCGAATCCATAGAAACGGCCTTACCTTCAGAATCCGTGCAGCAAGCACCGAGTTCGACGTACGGTACACCCTGTCGCAATCGCACCTCAGCAGGCCCGTTGAGAGTGATGGTCGGAAGCCCTCGGACGAAGAACGTCCGGTCCATCGTGGAGGTGAAGCTCAGACTGTCCTCGCAAGTATACGTCACGGTGTAAGGGCCTCCGATCACGGTTGTGCTTGTTTGGGAAGCGTCGAAACTGATACTCAGTGGCGTGCCGCTCGAGTCACGACATGTGACGCCGTCTGCGGGAGACCACATTTCATTGTGCACCACGTATGTGATCAATGGGTCGATGGAGATCACAGGTCTCTCATGGGGATCCCGCTGCAAAACCTTGGTGGACGGTATGGCCTGAAACGCATTAGATGTGTCGGGACCAGAGTATTGCAATTGCATCTGGGCGTTGCTTGCAGCGGAGGCGTAGAGCTCGAGCTTCAGGGCAATGGACGAGCCTGCAGTGAAGGCAATGAAGTTTGAGCTCATAGTGGTTCCAGAGTTGGGGTTCTCTATGGCGGGAGTTGCGTCGTATCTGATGTCGTCCACGTATAGCCAAGCTTTCTCGACCGAAGTCACCTGGAACCTATAGTCGCCCGCGCTAGAGATCTGCAAGTTCGCCGTCCACCTCGCTGCAACGGGGTCGGTCGTGCTCAAGCCGGTCGGCAGAGGGTCGCCGGGGTTTAGATCTACAGTGAGCTCACCGCAGGAGCACTGCGGTTCTAAATCGACTAGCGCGGGGTGCGTTTGCGCGAACCCTCCGTCTGGCTGGAACCAGTCGACCTGGTGGCCAGCCGACCCCGGGCTGGCGGCGTTGCCCACACAAACGCACCCTGTAGTGGTTGTGGTTGTGATAGTGGTAGTGGTCCGCCGGCTCACTGTACCACGGCCAGCGTGTCGGACCCTGTGCTTTCTTCCTAGTCCTGCCGCTTGCGAGGGCAGAGTTCGACTCCCAGTCTGCGAAAGGTGCCGATGCCACTACTCTCCGCACCTTTCCCGCGGCGAATCCAGCCGCGTGGCGAAGAGGGAAGGGTAGCGCTATCGGTACCACCCCCTCGCCCAACCCCCTCGCCCACCTTGCCCCCCCCTCGCCCATATCCCCCCCCAGCTCTGCGGCAGGTACGCGCGACAGCGCGAGCCGATGGTAGTCTTGGTGGTGGTCGTGAGCGTGGTGGTGGTGGAGGTCGTGGTCTGCGCGCCAGCGGGGCCCGCCAGCAGGAAAAAGGGGGTCCAGAGGCGCGCGCCGGGCGGCGCCAGCCAGAGGCCCCGCATCGGCGCCTCGGCGCGCCCGCGGAGCTGGTCCACACGGAGGATAGAGGCGGTGTGGGGGAGAGGGAGGTGGAAGGCGGAGGAGGGAGGGGGAGGAGCAGGAGGGGGGGGGGGAGTGAGGGAGGGAGGGAGGGAGGGGGCAGGAGCGAGGAGGGGGGAGGAAGAGGGAGGCGGAGGGAAGAGACTGGAGGAGAGAATGGCGAAGGCGGGATGGGGATGGGGGGGGCGGAGGAGATGCTGGAGGGCAGAGGGAAGAGAAGGGGAGGGGTGGCCGCAGAGCGCGGGTCCGCGCGGCCGCCACGCGAGAGTCGAGCGCGGAGCGCCGAGCGAGGCCCGACCAACCTGCAGGCTGGGGCCACGGCCACCGCACACGGCTCGGAGCGGGCGCGCCAGCGACGTCGGGGCGATCCTGTCTGCGCGTGCCTCCTGCTGCTGTCCCTCCTCCTGAGCTCCTCCTCCTCCTCCTCCTCCTCCTCCTCCTCCTCCTCCTCCTCCTCCTCCTCCTCCTCCTCCTCCTCCTCCTCCTCCCCTCCTCCTCCTCTCCCCCCCCCTCCCCCTCCCCCTCCCCCCTCCTCCTCCTCCTCCTCCTCTCCTCCTCCTCCTCCTCCTCCTCCTCCTCCTCCTCCTCCTCTTCCTCCTTCTCGTCCTCCTCCTCCTCCCTCTCCTCTTCTCCTCCTCCTCCTCCTCCTCCTCCTCCTCCTCTTCCTCCTTCTCGTCCTCCGCCCCCTCGTCCCCATCCTCCTCCTTGTCCTCTTCTTCCTCCTCCTTCTCCTCATCATCATCCTCCTTTTCTTATCCTTATGAATACATGCCTCCTGTCGCACCCCGAAGCCTGTCGAAAAGACGGGCCGAGCGTTTCGCCTGAGACTTCCTCACCACTTATGATCCTGAAGCTTCAACTTTGGCAACAGCTTCACAGATGGAGGGCGGGGAGGCTCTGAACATGCGGTTCTCGCCTTAGCGCCGCGCACTTTCGTCTCAACAAACTGCAAGAATTTAACTGATTCAGGGCGGGCCGTTTTCATCAAAATGTGGCTCACGCCTTAGCGTCGCGCGTCGCGCACACTCGTCTAGCACACTGCAAGGGCTTCACGGATCGAGGGCCGGCGGTTTTCAAAATGTGGCTCTCGCCTTGACGCTGCACGCTTTCGTCCTAAAACGTTGCAGAAGATTCTCGGATTGAGAGCGGGCCGCTTTCGCCGCGCACACTCGTCTTAAACATTTGCAAGAGATTCAGGGGTTGAGGGCGGCTCCTTTTCAAAATGTTGTTCTCGCCTTAACGCCGCGCACATCCGGCTAAAATATTGTAAGTGTTTCACGGATTCGCATGGTTGCCGTACCAGAAATTGCGTCTTGGAAGAATTCCGTATTGTCAAGGCGCACCGACTATGTTGACTTGCAGTGTTGAAGTCCCACGAATGGCGTTTTGGCACGATTCAGGATCATCACGCCGCAACAGTCAGCTTGATTCGCGGCGCTGGAGTCCCGAGAACGGTGTGTTGGCACGATTAAGGATCTTCAAACTGTTGCATCCCAATGGGGCACTTCCCTCAATGGAAATGACTCCTCGTAGGGGCCTATGAAGAGGGAACTTGGAGGGAGGGGTCAATCCAACATCATTGATGAGTTTTGGGATTACGTTGGTCCTTCACATCCTCATCCTCCTCCTGAGCTCCTCAACCCCTCAATTCCTCAATTCCTCCTCCTCCCCCTCCTATTCATGCTCCTTCCCCTCCTCCTCCTCCTCCTCCTTCTCCCCATCCTCCTCCGCCTCCCCCTCCTCCGGGTAGCCGTTTGGGCTCAAAATGAGTTTACCCGTGGCAGAATACTGATACGGCTAGTCCGCGGCCAAATCTCGGTTCTTTGTGAGCTCCTGCTGGAACACAACCCTCCGTTTCAAGCACCGGCCCACGTGCTGGCGGATAAAACGAAGTGTGTTCGTTTCTTTCTTTTCGTGTGTCAAGATCATGGCACATGCCCAGTGGACGGGTTGGCACTACGCACCGTGGGTCAAACTACCTCGAGGCAAAGGAGCGGGTCGTGGCAAGAAGGCTCAAGGCCGTTCCTACAACGTGTGCTCGTCGTGGGGTCATTGGGGGTACGACTACCATGGGCGTACCGCCTGCTCAAAGTGTTCGTCGCCCTACCTCCACCGTCTTTGCGGTGAAGATCGTGATGTCGATGATGGTTATGGCAATGGCCGTGGCAAGCCCAAAGGAGGTCGTGACAAAGGGAGACGGGAGACGCACAATCCCTTGAAGCTGACTTCGAAAGGCCCACAGCTCTGTATCCCGACGGTGCTGATGCCATCCGTGGTGCTCGTGGCGCTCCTGCTGCGCCTGCCGAGGCACCTGCAGCACCCACCGACAACGACCTGGGGAAGAAGATCGTCAGGCAGCGCACGTCCCTCACCCGGGCTGTCGAGCGCGACTCCAGCGCAGAACGTCTGGCGCTGTACGAAGTGGAGCAGACGTGGGCAGCAGTGGTCCGCCACAAGGAGCTCTGGCGATGGCCGAGAAGGCCCATGCTGAAGCTGTTGGGCTGCTTGAGCAGGCCGCTGCTGCTCATCGTGCTAAGTATGACCAGATGGACCAGTTTGACCCCGACGAACATCGTCGGCAGATCTTCCTGAATGAGCAAGCCGAACGCGGCATTGCTGAGCAAGAGAAGCGCGAAGCTGCTGCGGCGGCAGCTCGCGCCCAGGTTCCTCCTGAAGGTGTTAGTGTCGGAGGTGCTCCTCGGCCTGCTGCAGCGCGTCCTCGTCCCCGGGCCGTACCGATGCAGGTCGACCCACCCAATCAAGGCCAGCCAGCACGGCAGCAAGATGGTGCCCCTCAGCAAGGAGCGCCACCCTTGCCGTCGAACCTGCAGGCCATGGACGAACCTACCCTTCGGCAGTGGTGTATCCAACACATCCAAAGGTTCGAGCTCTGGCAGCAGATCAGAGAGTTCCGCGCCCACGTCGAGGATGATGTTATGTCTCACGCACCCTGTGATCGTGGCAATGAGGAATACACGGGCAGGAACTCGACGCACTCAAGAAGCGCAGCATCGACACGGCCTTGTCCCAAGAGGAGCTCGAGCGGATGGAGAAACTCCTGCAGAAGGAGTCCCACATCAATCGAGGCCGCCAAGAGGCTCAAAACTGCCCGAGAAAGGGCTGCAGTGTCGCTCGAACAAGCTTTCCAGCAACCGCGTCCCGCAGCACACCTGCCCCAAGCCCCCGCAGGTGGAGCACCCGCTGCTGCGGCCCCGCCTGTACCGCCTGCAGGGTGCAGCTGGAGCTGGAGGTGAGGCTGCCGCTGCACCTGCCGCGGGGCAAGGGCCACGCGTTGATTGGAGTCCTGAAAATAGGCGCCAACACCAAGACAAGGGGGTGCCTCCACAGGGGGTAGATGATCCTAAATTTCGGTGTTGGTGGTAATATGTCGGCCACCTTGGAAGCCAGAATACTAACACCGTCACCGAGATCGGGATCGTCTTCCCTCGGTGGAGGAACACCGCCGATATTGGTGTTGGTGTCAACCTCTAGGCCTGCGAGTTTAGTTCTCACCCCTCGAAGCATCGAGTGTGCGAAGCGATGTCTGTTTTGTTTTGTAACATCAGCGGGAGGCTGTTGCCGCAGCCCGGTGCCAGCTGCAGGCTGCGGGCAACCTCCCCATGCCGCCTTGTCCGGCATGGGCCGGAGGCGCGTGCAGTAAGGCCGAAATCAGGCCAACTCTGCACCAGAGTGTGGAGCCCGCCCGGGCTCCCGTGCCGCACCGCCCCCATCGCGTCCCTGCCCCACCTGTGGGGGCAGGGAGGGCCGGGACCTGAGAATGAAAAAGAAGACCTAGGAGGCCGCGCCATTTAGCCTCGACCTGACGAGGAGTTGTACCAAGCAAAAACAACTTAGATAAACATTGCCAGTAACCTGCCCAGCATTCCAAGCCCCACCACCATGTCGATAGGCGCTGGCATGACCAAAAGCAAACCTACCCCGAGGACGCGTAGTGAGGGATACAGCCGTTGGCGACCCACGCGCCATCCCATGCAACTACACGGGTGACACCACTATGCGTGTACAGAAAAAGCGGGCAACAGACGGGCTCCACAGCGGACGACGGTCGACACTATGTAGGCAGTCAAGCCTGCTCCCAAAAAGAACGGAAGTGAAGAACAGGCCTCAACGACGCTTGCAATAGAAACCTAAGCTTGTAAAAACGGTGCAGGAGGGCATGCTTCAAGAGACACGGCTGTCTGCGCCCGTCTGGCCAGCAAGCATGCCATGCAGAAGAGGAACGACGACAAGTACGACGACGATGATGATGACGACGACGACGAGAAGAGAGACACACCTTGCTGGCCAGACACGCCAAAGTGAGCCCACTGAGGACCAGGATGGCATGGGTGGACAAGTAAGAATGTTTCGGCAAAAAGCTAAGACGCGAGGCCCCATGTAACCGCGAGCCTCGCGACCCTGAAAGCCGGTGGAGACCCCCACAAGCTCAGCCCGCACGGCACTGGTGGCCGCGGATCTGTGAGATCGTTAGCCGCTGTCAGTCGCACGTGTTTCTGCTGTACGTGCTGATCGCATTCCTCGTGGGACCTCGTAGAGGTGATCTGCTCCCGGCGTTTTTTGTTGTAACATCACGTCCTGGAACGAAGTGGCC